GAGAGTGTGTGTGTGTGTGTGTAATCGTGTCCTGTGTGTGTGTGTATGTGTGTGTAATCTTGTCCTGTGTGCGTGAGAGTGTGTGTATGTGTGTAATCGTGTCCTGTGTGTGTTCAGATGGACCTGATGCCGTTCGTTACTAAAGCAGGCTGTGAATGTCTCAACGAGAGCGATGACTGTGGCTTTGACAGCTGCTTAATCAAGGACTCGTCCTATCTGGAGTCAGACTGTGATGAACAGGTGAAAATACTTTTTTGAAATCAAATTTTTGATCAAAGTGTGTGTGTGTGTGTGTGTGTTTTGTGTGTGTGTGTGTGTGTGTGTGTGTGTGTGTAATCGTGTCCTGAGTGTGTGAGTGTGTGTGTGTGTGTAATAGTGTCCTGAGTGTGTGTGTGTAATCGTGTCCTGAGTGTGAGTGTGTGTGTAATCGTGTCCTGAGTGTGTGTGTGTAACTCTTGTCCTGTGTGCGTGAGAGTGTGTGTATGTGTGTAATCGTGTCCTGTGTGTGTTCAGATGGACCTGATGCCGTTCGTTACTAAAGCAGGCTGTGAATGTCTCAACGAGAGCGACGACTGTGGCTTTGACAGCTGCTTAATCAAGGACTCGTCCTATCTGGAGTCAGACTGTGATGAACAGGTGAAAAGCCTTTGGGTTTTTGATGCTGTAGCTTTAAAAGTCTGTGGAGGAACTGCAGTGTTTTATTACACTATCATAGAGATTCACAACCTTTTTTTTTTTTGTCAGCTAAAATATTTACTTGAAATCCTTCTGAGATATTAAGTTAATATTTCAATAATTTAAGGACACATTCACATGTTGGTTAATGGTCACATGACATGCAGGTAAACAAATTGTGTTGACTTTTTTTTGTAGGTGTTTTATTTAGATTTTACTTTTTCATGATTTAATTATTATTATTAATTACTAATTGTCAGGTTGACAGTTTTGTTTATTTTGTTTAGGAGCAGTGCTATTACTATTATAGTTTTCATTCATATTTTAATAATTCAGTTTTTCATCCAATGTTTAGGAGTTTTAGTATTTTTTATATACTAGTAGTTTTCATTAATATTTTGAATGAGCTTTTATTTTTACATTTTTAGTTTAGTTTAAATTAATTATTATTTTTAATATTATTATTAATTAATTACCAATGTCAGGACAGTTTAGTTTTTATTACTATTTTTTATCTACTATTAATTTATTATTATTATTATTATTAATTTTCTAATTAATTACTAATTGTCAGGTTGAAAATGTATTTAATAACCGCTCCATTCAGTGTTTTTTTTTGTATTATCAATGTGCTGTTATAGTTTTTATTTTTATATTTTCAGTTTACATTTTAATTTTAAGTAATTTTGTATGTGCTTTTTAAAATATTGCTATTTGGGTTTAATTTTTTTTTAGTTCAGGTTTAGTGTTGGTTCAGTTTTAAGTTGAGTAATTGTAGTGTATTTTCTTCAGCAACATGAGCCGTATCTGATGTGTGTTAAAGTGAAAGTAAAACTGTGAAGTGTCCTCAGTGATGTTACATAAGATCAGCTCACAGTTACTGTCGGTGTGAGTTTGCCAAGTACACAGAGCGAGTGTAAATATGATCTCAGGACTGGTCCTTCTGCATTTGTTTGCAGCTTCTGATCACAATCGCCTTCAATCAACCTGTCAAGCTCTTCTCCTTGAAACTGCTGGCTGCAGAATTAGGTAAGATCATTTATAATACATATATAATATTTATATATTATATTAAAAAAATCTATATAAATACAAAAAAGTAAAATAAATATAAAAATGTATATATATATATATCCAAACTATATATCATTGGAAAGGTGTAAGACTCCTAAATAGATATTTTACGAATGTTTTTGTTAAAAATGATGTAGGAAAAGTAATAGATTAATTTTTGACAAGAGTGCACCTCAAAAATCTACATCATAACAGGAGTTCTGACCTCTGTCAAAAAAAAGTCTTCTTTGTTGCCTTTTTCTTGATCACACTTTAGAAATCATCAGAAATTATATATCAATTGAAAACTTTAAATCTCAAAATTCATCCTTTGAAACCCATTTTAAAATCAAACATTGCATTACCATGAAAATGGTACATCAATATCACGTTACAAAATGTTTTCGTTCAAGAATTATAAAAATTTAAGTTTGGGTCGTGCACTTTCACGTCTATGTTCAAAAATGTGAGTGACAGTTAAAGGGTTAATTTCTATATATCTATGCCAAAAATCATTAGGATATTAAGTAAAGATCATGTTCCATGAAGATATTTTGTAAATGTCCTACCGTAATTATATCAACACTTAATGTTTGATTAGTAATATGCATTCCTAAGAACTTAATTTGAACAACTTTAAAGATGATTTTCTCAATATTTTGATTTTTTTGCTCCCTCAGATTCCAGATTTTCAAATAGTTGTATCTCGGCCAAATATTGTCCGATCCTAACAAACCATACATCAATGGAAATATTATTTATTCAGCTTTCAGATGTATAAATCTCAATTTTGAAAAATGGACTGGTTTTGTTGTCCAGGGTCACATATTTCTCCCAAACTTCATTAAAATCTCTTTAAACATTCATCTCAAATTATCCCAATAACAATATTTTGAGTGAGAAAAATAAATATTTAAATAAAAATAAAATAACTAATAATGAACAAATATCTCAGGAAGTACAATATCCCATTTCAGCGTCTCAAAATACTCCTATTACATATAATTTTTGCAAAACAAACCTATGTTTTGATGGGAAAAAAAACAAATTAATATTTAAAGCATAAATATTTCAAGGGAGAAAAATATTTAAATATAAATAAATAAAAACAGCTTAGAAAGTACTATATAATTTAAATAAACACAGCTCAAAGGTACAATATCACATTTCAGCGTCTCCAAATACAGCTGTATTACATCAGTGAAGTCCAAACAATGTGATTCCTGCAACCTCACGATCCAGATACTTTACAGATGTCTCACAAACTTTATAAAAATATAAAATAACCTTATTTAATTCATAATAACAATATTTCAAGGGAGACCAAATAAAGTTAATAAAAATAAATGACTAAAAGCATATCAAAATGCACCTGCATTACATGTAGAAAGTCCCTATATCAGTCCAAATCCAAGCGTCATTTTTGCAACCCCAAGATCCAGATCATTTACAAAAGCTTCCCGAACTTTGTCAAAGTCCATTTTTAATGTTCATCTTATTTAATGTCATGATATCTTTGTGGTTCTTGGGGATCTAAAGCGATTGTCGTAGTACTTGATTTCAGAATTTTAATCAAAGCGTTCACATTTTCCACCTGTTTTCGTGTTCAGTTATTTATCAAGTCAAACCAAGGAGACGAGGAGACGACGAAAGTGAACTACTTGACGTTTATCGGGACTCCTGTCCAGGCGACGAACATGAGCGACTTCAAGCGGGTGAGTAAAGAGCGCTAACCAGCGATATCTGATCCCACTCACCACCGATCAGTCATTCCCAGTGTTGGGGGGAACGCATTACTAGTAACACAAGTTACGTAATCAGATTACTTTTTAAGTAACTACTAAAGTAATGTGTTACTTTTTAATTTAGAAGGAAATATCTGAGTTACTTTGTCAAATGAGTGACTCCAGTTACTTTGTTTCCATGTCGTGAGTGACAGCTCTGGTGTTGCCATGGTGACAGAAATAAATATGTATAATTTTTTTATTTTATTTAGTCATTTAGCAGACTAACTAAGCTTTTATCCAAAGCGACTTACAAATGAGGACAATTTTAGAGATGTTTACTCCTCTCACTGCACAAAAACTGATAAATATTATTTATTCAGCTTTCAGATGTATAAATCTCAATTTTGAAAAATGGACTGGTTTTGTGGTCCAGGGTCACATATTTCTCCCAAACTTCATTAAAATCTCTTTAAACATTCATCTCAAATTATCCCAATAACAATATTTTGAGTGAGAAAAATAAATATTTAAATAAAAATAAAATAACTAATAATGAACAAATATCTCAGGAAGTACAATATCCCATTTCAGCGTCTCAAAATACTCCTATTACATATAATTTTTGCAAAACAAACCTATGTTTTGATGGGAAAAAAAACAAATTAATATTTAAAGCATAAATATTTCAAGGGAGAAAAATATTTAAATATAAATAAATAAAAACAGCTTAGAAAGTACTATATAATTTAAATAAACACAGCTCAAAGGTACAATATCACATTTCAGCGTCTCCAAATACAGCTGTATTACATCAGTGAAGTCCAAACAATGTGATTCCTGCAACCTCACGATCCAGATACTTTACAGATGTCTCACAAACTTTATAAAAATATAAAATAACCTTATTTAATTCATAATAACAATATTTCAAGGGAGACCAAATAAAGTTAATAAAAATAAATGACTAAAAGCATATCAAAATGCACCTGCATTACATGTAGAAAGGCCCTATATCAGTCCAAATCCAAGCGTCATTTTTGCAACCCCAAGATCCAGATCATTTACAAAAGCTTCCCGAACTTTGTCAAAGTCCATTTTTAATGTTCATCTTATTTAATGTCATGATATCTTTGTGGTTCTTGGGGATCTAAAGCGATTGTCGTAGTACTTGATTTCAGAATTTTAATCAAAGCGTTCACATTTTCCACCTGTTTTCGTGTTCAGTTATTTATCAAGTCAAACCAAGGAGACGAGGAGACGACGAAAGTGAACTACTTGACGTTTATCGGGACTCCTGTCCAGGCGACGAACATGAGCGACTTCAAACGGGTGAGTAAAGAGCGCTAACCAGCGATATCTGATCCCACTCACCACCGATCAGTCATTCCCAGTGTTGGGGGGAACGCATTACTAGTAACACAAGTTACGTAATCAGATTACTTTTTAAGTAACTACTAAAGTAATGTTACTTTTTAATTTAGAAGGAAATATCTGAGTTACTTTGTCAAATGAGTGACTCCAGTTACTTTGTTTCCATGTCGTGAGTGACAGCTCTGGTGTTGCCATGGTGACAGAAATAAATATGTATAATTTTTTTATTTTATTTAGTCATTTAGCAGACTAACTAAGCTTTTATCCAAAGCGACTTACAAATGAGGACAATTTTAGAGATGTTTACTCCTCTTATGTTTTGATGGGAAAAAAAACAAATTAATATTTAAAGCATAAATATTTCAAGGGAGAAAAATATTTAAATATAAATAAATAAAAACAGCTTAGAAAGTACTATATAATTTAAATAAACACAGCTCAAAGGTACAATATCACATTTCAGCGTCTCCAAATACAGCTGTATTACATCAGTGAAGTCCAAACAATGTGATTCCTGCAACCTCACGATCCAGATACTTTACAGATGTCTCACAAACTTTATAAAAATATAAAATAACCTTATTTAATTCATAATAACAATATTTCAAGGGAGACCAAATAAAGTTAATAAAAATAAATGACTAAAAGCATATCAAAATGCACCTGCATTACATGTAGAAAGTCCCTATATCAGTCCAAATCCAAGCGTCATTTTTGCAACCCCAAGATCCAGATCATTTACAAAAGCTTCCCGAACTTTGTCAAAGTCCATTTTTAATGTTCATCTTATTTAATGTCATGATATCTTTGTGGTTCTTGGGGATCTAAAGCGATTGTCGTAGTACTTGATTTCAGAATTTTAATCAAAGCGTTCACATTTTCCACCTGTTTTCGTGTTCAGTTATTTATCAAGTCAAACCAAGGAGACGAGGAGACGACGAAAGTGAACTACTTGACGTTTATCGGGACTCCTGTCCAGGCGACGAACATGAGCGACTTCAAACGGGTGAGTAAAGAGCGCTAACCAGCGATATCTGATCCCACTCACCACCGATCAGTCATTCCCAGTGTTGGGGGGAACGCATTACTAGTAACACAAGTTACGTAATCAGATTACTTTTTAAGTAACTACTAAAGTAATGTGTTACTTTTTAATTTAGAAGGAAATATCTGAGTTACTTTGTCAAATGAGTGACTCCAGTTACTTTGTTTCCATGTCGTGAGTGACAGCTCTGGTGTTGCCATGGTGACAGAAATAAATATGTATAATTTTTTTATTTTATTTAGTCATTTAGCAGACTAACTAAGCTTTTATCCAAAGCGACTTACAAATGAGGACAATTTTAGAGATGTTTACTCCTCTCACTGCACAAAAACAGATTCAGTATTCCTCAAAATGAATAAAAACGGTCTAACGCAAACTCAGAATATTATACAAACCTGCGATAATTAAATATGTTAAATAAGACAAATATCATTTATGTATTTAATCCCATTTTATTAACCAACGTCTTTGCTACTGACCTTCTGATTGATCCAATTCAACCGTACTAATAAGAAAAACGACACGTTTCATTTTAGTTATTGCTGAATAGTGTTGAATTTTCTTCTCCTGCGTCGTATTCTTCATGAGATTTGTTTGAGCGGCGCCCTCTACTGTACAGACGTGAATTTACAACGTATTCATTTCACTTTTGGTGTGAAAGGGCTTTTACATTTGTAAAAGAAGAGCTCTTTTATATTAAAACAAACAAGCAAACCCTGCCCAGATTTAAAAAGTAACGTAATGCATTACTTTCCATAAAAAGTAACTAAGTACCGTAATTAGTTACTTTTTTAGGGAGCAATGCAATATTGTAATGCATTACTTTCCATAAAAAGTAACTAAGTACCGTAATTAGTTACTTTTTTAGGGAGCAATGCAATATTGTAATGCATTACTTTCCATAAAAAGTAACTAAGTACCGTAATTAGTTACTTTTTTAGGGAGCAATGCAATATTGTAATGCATTACTTTCCATAAAAAGTAACTAAGTACCGTAATTAGTTACTTTTTTAGGGAGCAATGCAATATTGTAATGCATTACTTTTAAAAGTAACTTTCCCCAACACTGGACGTTTCATTCAGGATTTCCTGCTGGATATTTTGTTGTAGATATTCCACATGACGGAAATTAAACGTGATGCACTTTTTAACGTGTGTGTGAAACAGGTTGTGGGTAAGAAGGGAGAAAGTCACTGAAGAGGAAAAGACGACACGACATATTGCTGCAATCTCTCCATGGGCGTCTCTCTCGTCTCTCTTCGCCAACATGACTGGGCAAAATCACCACCGACACACACACAGACACTGCCGAGCGCCGGATCCGTCCCTCAGCTCGCCTTCAGACGAGAGACCGAGCGAGAGAAGACACCGCTTTGTCTCAGTGAGGCCCTGGAGCAGTCGTTTTTATCTGAAACCCTCCTGAAATGTTCCTGTAAATAAAGTCAATCCTTTTTCAAAGGCACGTGGCTACTGTTGTCTATCAGCATTGAAACTGTTGATGTTTTGGATTTAATACAAAATGAATGACTCTAAATGGCAATAATGGGTTTTGTTGAGAAAAGTACGCTGCTGTTCCTGATCCGGCCGCTGGGTGGCAGCAGAATATAAATAAATAAAAACAGCTTAGAAAGTACTATATAATTTAAATAAACACAGCTCAAAGGTACAATATCACATTTCAGCGTCTCCAAATACAGCTGTATTACATCAGTGAAGTCCAAACAATGTGATTCCTGCAACCTCACGATCCAGATACTTTACAGATGTCTCACAAACTTTATAAAAATATAAAATAACCTTATTTAATTCATAATAACAATATTTCAAGGGAGACCAAATAAAGTTAATAAAAATAAATGACTAAAAGCATATCAAAATGCACCTGCATTACATGTAGAAAGTCCCTATATCAGTCCAAATCCAAGCGTCATTTTTGCAACCCCAAGATCCAGATCATTTACAAAAGCTTCCCGAACTTTGTCAAAGTCCATTTTTAATGTTCATCTTATTTAATGTCATGATATCTTTGTGGTTCTTGGGGATCTAAAGCGATTGTCGTAGTACTTGATTTCAGAATTTTAATCAAAGCGTTCACATTTTCCACCTGTTTTCGTGTTCAGTTATTTATCAAGTCAAACCAAGGAGACGAGGAGACGACGAAAGTGAACTACTTGACGTTTATCGGGACTCCTGTCCAGGCGACGAACATGAGCGACTTCAAGCGGGTGAGTAAAGAGCGCTAACCAGCGATATCTGATCCCACTCACCACCGATCAGTCATTCCCAGTGTTGGGGGGAACGCATTACTAGTAACACAAGTTACGTAATCAGATTACTTTTTAAGTAACTACTAAAGTAATGTTACTTTTTAATTTAGAAGGAAATATCTGAGTTACTTTGTCAAATGAGTGACTCCAGTTACTTTGTTTCCATGTCGTGAGTGACAGCTCTGGTGTTGCCATGGTGACAGAAATAAATATGTATAATTTTTTTATTTTATTTAGTCATTTAGCAGACTAACTAAGCTTTTATCCAAAGCGACTTACAAATGAGGACAATTTTAGAGATGTTTACTCCTCTCACTGCACAAAAACAGATTCAGTATTCCTCAAAATGAATAAAAACGGTCTAACGCAAACTCAGAATATTATACAAACCTGCGATAATTAAATATGTTAAATAAGACAAATATCATTTATGTATTTAATCCCATTTTATTAACCAACGTCTTTGCTACTGACCTTCTGATTGATCCAATTCAACCGTACTAATAAGAAAAACGACACGTTTCATTTTAGTTATTGCTGAATAGTGTTGAATTTTCTTCTCCTGCGTCGTATTCTTCATGAGATTTGTTTGAGCGGCGCCCTCTACTGTACAGACGTGAATTTACAACGTATTCATTTCACTTTTGGTGTGAAAGGGCTTTTACATTTGTAAAAGAAGAGCTCTTTTATATTAAAACAAACAAGCAAACCCTGCCCAGATTTAAAAAGTAACGTAATGCATTACTTTCCATAAAAAGTAACTAAGTACCGTAATTAGTTACTTTTTTAGGGAGCAATGCAATATTGTAATGCATTACTTTTAAAAGTAACTTTCCCCAACACTGGACGTTTCATTCAGGATTTCCTGCTGGATATTTTGTTGTAGATATTCCACATGACGGAAATTAAACGTGATGCACTTTTTAACGTGTGTGTGAAACAGGTTGTGGGTAAGAAGGGAGAAAGTCACTGAAGAGGAAAAGACGACACGACATATTGCTGCAATCTCTCCATGGGCGTCTCTCTCTCCGCCAACATGACTGGGCAAAATCACCACCGACACACACACAGACACTGCCGAGCGCCGGATCCGTCCCTCAGCTCGCCTTCAGACGAGAGACCGAGCGAGAGAAGACACCGCTTTGTCTCAGTGAGGCCCTGGAGCAGTCGTTTTTATCTGAAACCCTCCTGAAATGTTCCTGTAAATAAAGTCGATCCTTTTTCAAAGGCACGTGGCTACTGTTGTCTATCAGCATTGAAACTGTTGATGTTTTGGATTTAATACAAAATGAATGACTCTAAATGGCAATAATGGGTTTTGTTGAGAAAAGTACGCTGCTGTTCCTGATCCGGCCGCTGGGTGGCAGCAGAAGCCACGAGATTAAAAACCAAACTACAATCTGTGACAGGTTTGTGAAGAGATCCGTTCAGAAACCATCGCATGTGTTTGGACTGTTATCTTTACGTGTGTTTAAATCATATAATTCCAGAGAAACACGAAATGGGGACATTTTGCAATCATTAAAACTAAAATTATTATTTTTCAATCGATTCAATAGCGTGGTGTGTTTCCAATAAAGAATAATTAACTTGCAAAAGACATTTTAAACATTGCGTTTTAAGATAATAATAAACTATAATATTTGAGAAATATAGATGCTGCTTTTAAACTACAAATGCAAACGTGTCTCTGCTAAATATTTTGTTCGAGAAAGTATTGATTATTAAGCATTGATAGATGCATTAAATATCTAATGATTTTTTATTAGGCTATTTACATTTTTTATTTGTAGCTAACTATTGTTAAATGATTAACACGGAACACTAGACCATATAATAGGCTAGCCTAAAAACAATAACGAAATAAAAAGGTGTTTGTTAAATTAATTCAATGGTGAAGTTCAATCTCGATCGAAAAACTCGCGAATAAACACTGAATCAAAATACGCTTTTATTTCAGATTTGGTTATTAGTAAATGATCAGTGCAGAAAATGCTCCTCTTATCATGAACAGGTAAATTCTTTTTTAATTCTAAGCTAATTCTGTATCATTTTAGGGTTGGTTTGTGAATATTTCTTATGCGTTTTTATGATAGGGATGGTTTTCCTTGAAAAATGAGCATAAATGACACCAAAAACATTGTTTAAAACACCTCCTTAAAGCTTTAAAACGCGAAAATGAAATAGCCTATATTCAGTGGTCTTTTTAATTTACTTAAGCTATTAAAAAACGGCACGTTTCATAATTGCAACAAAAATAATAGGCTACAGTTAATAATGAACAGCATGCATTATTTTTTGTTGAACGTTCATCAGGTAAAAAAACGAATTAGCTATGCCTTTTTATTGCTGGGTAAATTTGTAGCTTCAATTTGAGGTGTTTATTTCATTCTCTACAATTAAAGCAGGCAAGTATCTTAATCCGTGTGTTATTAAACACGGCCAGTTCAGCACACTGCTGTTCACAGACCTCGCCACATCTGAGCTTCATCTCTGTAGAATAACCTCTGAGCTGTAATGAAGCTGTTCTGCTCTACAGTGTTGTGTAAGAGAGTCTTTTTGACTGAAATCGCAGGCCTGAGTGTTTGCAGTTGAGTGCTTTAGCAGACGGCTCAGATGCGGTCAAACTGGATTTCGGACAGCATTGAAACATGTTCGGTGTAGAGCTGCTTTCTGCATCTGGACGGTAGTTCAATAAATAGGGAACACTGAGTCAATAACGAGCGAGCGCTTTTAAAACCACATTACACTGGAGTCCCCTGTTGAAAAAACCAGCATATGCTGGTTAGGTATGTTTTGACGCTGGGATGCTGGT